TGAGGGGATTTGGGAGCCACATGAATTTGAGGTCACATGCCAACCACCCCTTCTCTAAAATCTGGAAACCTACAGATGGAATGGCTGGTTAATAATGTTTTATTATTATGTAAAGCACAATGCTCTCCATAATACATTAGTGTCCTTTAACAAAATGCAGGAATGATGTTAACAAGTTCAACTTCAAGTAACCTCTGAAAGTAATCTTGTCACCACCTCTAATGAACCATTTCATTCTGTACTGCAGTGCTATTTCCAGATAGAGCCAATTAGCGTTCTGATTATTGTTTTTAGAAAATAAACACAGCTTGAGTAACCCTGATGTAAGCAGCATGTCAACTAATTATGCATGTTAAATGAATACATTAAGATTCTCACATAATTTTTCAATTGACTGATTAGAAAGTGACACTGCCAGTTTCCATCAATGAAAATTCATTTATTACAATCTGTATATGAAGACTGTATTTGAAATTTCCTCTACTTAATAGCCAATCAGTCACTTCATGCCTACAGAAAGGAGATAGAGAAATCATTTCATGGTGTATAGAAGCATATATTAAATGTGTTTAATGGAAATAAAATTTGTTTGGAAAATATGATATAAGGACAAGTTTTCCATTACATCCTCAAGGGTGAGATGATAGCAAAATGTATCTGGGTCTACCATTAGTGATATCAATCAACACCCTATGGTAGATTACAATATATACCATATCCTAGAATTCATTTTATAGCTGCCACTTTTCTTTCTTTTATATACATTTCCTAAATAAACAATTTAGTCAAATACATTATTTTTTCATTACAAGAACTGGGCTGTCTAATTTTACAGTTGAGGGACTTTTTATAAAAGAACAAACAAACCTCTGGTTGGCAAGTAAAACTGGTTTTGTTTTGTTTTTTGTGAAATATACACAAGGAAGGACAATCTGTAGGGAACAGCAGAAATCAAGTATTTTAAAAATCACTAATTTGTTTAATTATTACATTTATAGGTTAGTACAAATTTTATAGGTTAGTACAAATTTTATGGGGATGCGGTGGCACAGCGGCTTAATGACGCTCAAAGTTGCCGGCCAGAAATGGTTGACTCTTCAGCAGTTCGAGCCCAGCTTCGCGCAGCAGAGTGAGCTCCTGCTTCCTCCCTAGCTCCTGTCAACCCAGCAGCTCAAAAACTTACGCGAGTAGATAAATGGGTACTCTCACCCCGGTGGGAGGAAAAATGCTGGCGGCGCCTTGCAAAGGAGACGGGAGCAGTTGCGGGTAATGCGGAAGCTGCACACGCCTGAAAAAGGCGCAAAGCAACGGAAACCCCACCTTCTGCGCTCGCCAGCTGGGCTCTGCTCTAGGAAGGACGCAATGGCAAACCCACTTCCGAAACACTTTGCCTTGAAAACTGCAGGGACTCATCCAGGCAGTCGCCACAGAATCGGTAACGACTGAGTGCGGATAAAAAAAAAATTTTTTTTTAACTTTAAAAAAAACATTCAGGACTATTATACAGGTAGTCTCTGGGTTAAGAACACCCAATTTAAGGACAACTCATAGTTAAGAACAGAGTATTGTAGCAAAATTCGAGTTAAATACACAGTGATTCAAGTTAAATACTCAACAGTTTAAGTTAATTACACAATACTATTTATCCAATATTATATAATAATACTGTTTTGGCTTACATACAAATTCAACTTAAGGACAGACTCTGGGAACAGAACTTGTTCTTAAACTTGGGACTACATGTACATAGTAAAACTAAAAAATAAATAATTAGAGCTGTGAAACAACTATCCACGACATAAATAATTAAAACTCATTTTCCTTTGCAGGAACGAAATAATTCTAGATGATCCCAGTTCTACAGGATAGAATTTACAAAACAAAACAAAACAGAAAAGGATGTTCTACAGAGGAATGCTAAAACTGAAAAAGCACTGATTGCCATTAATCCAACAAACTCAAATAGATACAATGGAGCAAGTTCTATTCTGCTTATTATAGTTTACAAAAAGGGTAAGAAAATACATTATTTTAAGGGAACTGTGCCATGGCTGTTAAGGGCTTTAAAGATTATGTATATCTTTTGCTTAGAAACAGATGGAGAGGTGGTCAAGGCAGTTGCTGTAGGTTCCCTTCAGGTAATTTTATTTAATTTAACCGATTAAATCATTTTGAACTGGTTAATGTTTCTAGACATACATTAAAGGTAGCCTCATACATAAGATTCATAGTAAAAAAAAAAACTAGATATTCCATGGAAGGCAAAATTAAACACAGCACACAAGATTTTGCAACATCTGCAGGATAAGTGAAAAACCATTTTTATGAAATGTGTTTCACTACCAACCTAAACATGAAATCCAAAAAGAAATCATACACAATTCAAAGGCACTGAGAGGTCATGAAGAATCAACAAGATCACATTTTTTTCAGGTATCTCATTATCAAAAATGGCTCTGGAATCAGAGTCCTACGATTCTCAACAGTCTCATCCACCTTTCTAAATATTTCTATTATTTTTTTATCAGTTTTCTATAAGAAATTATTAGGATTGGTCATTTATTGTTTATTTTAGGAGACCTATGGATTTATTTTTAATAAAAGTCTGGCAAATGCACCATTCAGTATGAGATGAAGAAGGGAATGATGTCATCCAGGACCAAACCAGGAATGTATTGGTCAACTGCTTTTAGGCACTCATCTACATCTTCAAATGAAATAAGCTGAAATGCACCCTATAAACGAAGAAGGCTGCAACTATCTCCTCCATCAGAATTACATTACATTTAATTGTATCCAAATTGGAGCTGCCCTATGTTTAATTTGATTATCACAGTCAGAGTGCAGCAGCTTTTATTGAACAGAGAACTAAAGAGAGAACTATGCTGCTTCAATCATGATAATGAAATAAGACTTATTTGCCATTACTGTCTAGACAGATTTCTCCCGAAGTATTTTCAGTTTTCTGCAAAACAAACTATTTCTACCATAGTGCTCTCTCACTTACAGTTCCCCAAAATGCAATTAATGTTATCACATTTAGTATAATGGATAGTTACTGGGTAAATTTCTATCAAGTTTTTTCTTCAATCACATGAATCCATTATTATGTATTAGTTTGGATGTTATAATTAGGCATTTATACAAAAACTCCTTCAGAGGATTTTTTTTGTTTGTTTGTATTTTTAATGTCATTTCATATTCTTTAAAAGTTATGTTGTAGGGCAGATGAACCAGAGGACCATAATTAATTTATCTTCTCGAAGTGCTCCTCCAAAGGAAATCTGATGTGTACTAGAGAGAAGGCATCTTCTATGGTTGCACTTCAATTGTGAAGCATAGAAGATGCTATGTCATAGGTGAAGACATTTTAATTTTCCTAAATTTCCAACGTTAAGTTCTTTGCATTTTCTCTTACTAGTTTTATTTTGATCCTCTTCCAACAGTTTCAGGTTTTCTCTGCTTATTTTTATATCTTATGGTTTTACGTTTTATTTATGAACAGTGTCAAATAATATTTTGTTGGAAGAAAGCATAGAAAATGCTAAGTAAAAGCATCTTTGTGATCATCAAAACAAAAATAAGCATTCATAGTGCTTTAGTGTGTGGATTAAAAGATCTGAGGCCATAACAATAGATCTTTAAACACACACACATCATACACACCTTGAATGCTCTGTCTACAGATGACTGCAATCGTCACACTCCTACTCTGATAATACACAATAATGTCTACCTTTTCAAGTGGGGTGGAAGTTGTGATGTTGCAATGTGGATGATAATATTCAAAGTTCCATTTACTTTTGATATGAGAATGCTCTTAGCACAGTGAAGTGGTTGATAAGATACACCATTTAAAGCAGTTTCAATGACTCATGCTAGATTTGTGGAGCAAAAAAAGTTGGTGAGGATAGATGACAGCCAAAGGAACAAACAGCAGGGTTATAGACGGAATGATTTTTAAAAGTTTGGTTTTTAGACAAAAAATGAAATCACTGGTCCCATAGTCAATAATCTGTGAGTACTACAAACTGAAAAAGACTACACTGGTGCTGATGCTTGAGCCTCGAGGATACAGATTCACTTGATTCAGCCCAGTGTATTTTTCTATATCAGAACAGATTTTAACTTGGAAATAAAATGCATACTTTCATTTTTTAAATGCCGATAATTAATTTAGACCATTAAATTTTATTACCTATAAAAGCAAACATAAAAATTAAACTAGATAATTACTTATTTCTAATATAATGAGATAATTTAAAAGCTCCATATATTTCTTGCAGTCCAATTCTAAAAAGCTAAAGATGAAGCAGTGATTTTGATGACATTCTCTTATTCAAGTTAATAAGGCCAATTTTGTGTAATGGTAAAGACATTAGACTAGGAGTGGGGAGAACCAGATTTTAGTCCATCCTCAACCATGGAAGCTCACTGGGGGATTTTGGATCAGTCACTCACTCCCAGCCCAACACAACCTCATAGGTTCCAATAGAAGAGAATATCTGTAGTTCAGGGTTGAACTGTGGAGTCCTTGGTGCTCTCTGAGCTTGGTTGTTCCCTAGTTGGGTAACGAAACATCTGCAAGCAAACAACTGAACTCAGAGACCACAAAGGACTCCACAACCTAATAGGGTTACTGTTGTGGGAAAAATAGGTCTTATGCTACACTTAGTAATGTGTATATTAAATGAAAATACTAAATAAGAAGACCACATCATCCAGCTGTGCTCACAACTAGACACTTCCATTTAAAGCTAAAAACAGTTGTGACAGTTTCCTTGAACGTCACATTGGGCACTCTGCCCTGCTATTTACCCCTGGCCAGAGCAACTGTCTGTTCCTGCTTCATAATACCATGTATAACCCCAGCTATAATTCTAGTAAGCTATTCTGTACATATTTTTTGAACCAAAAAAAATTTACCCTAACAAAACCACTGAAATACAGTTCCTTTATTCTTCCTCAATTTATTTTATAACATTACACATAGCTTTTCCTTGTCTTCAGATCTCCCTTTAAAATGTTGTATTAGTTTCAGATATACCATGCAGATATCTATGTTGGGACTTAGGTCACCAAGACTCCAAATGTAGAAAGAATTAAAAGCATCTGAAAAAGATTTTACTCCAACATACCTGCATTTCACAATCTGCTCGAAGGTTCAGCTCTTCACAGCAGTCCCTGGATATTCTCAGAAAGATATATTCCTTTGTTTTTTCTTCAATTACGGCTTCATACACTTTCTCTTTGGTTCCTTGGGTCAGTCCTGACTTCTCTTTAGTGATCGGCAATAAATAAACAGCATTGACTTTGGTCATCACCAGTCGCCCTGCCAAAGTATCTTCAGAAAGGGTTTCAGTGAGTTTAAACCGTCCAAAAAGTTGTCCATTTTGGGCATACTTTGCACCCCCAGAAACACCAGTAAGCATGAAGCTTGCTACTATCTGCAATTGTACTTTGATGTTAAACCTAAAACAGAAAACACAGAGTTACTTCTAAAAAAAGAAACTGCATCCTGTAGAAACAAGATAAAAATTGAAGACAAAATAGAGTTTTGAAAAATCTATATTCAGAATCTTTTTCAACTGTATGCTTAGCATCTCCTCCTATTTTTCAATGGTCTTAACAACAGCCACAGAATAAGTTGTGGAATGTTGTGATGATCTTGGGAAATAGGGTGGGTAGGATAGTTATTTTCCCCAGTACTATTTGCTCCATTGAAATAACTTATTACAAACAACTATTTTTCCACTGGGAGATATATACAAATAAAGACTATTATGTTTTTCTTAGGGCAATATATAAATTTAATCTGCTCCAAACTTTCGTTTTAGCAATTTCATAACAGACTGTATTCTCTACATAGATAATTTTTAAATATTATGAACTGGTAGACTGGAAATATTCATTCGAGCTCTTCTACTGTAGGCCCAGGAGATCTCAGGGACATGGAATGAATGTCTCTACCCAAATTCAAAAGATACAACAGCCATGATCGTTCTTAGACAGAGACAGCTCAGCTTTAGTGGCTCCTATTCTGGTTATTTCTTGTTTGGATTATTTTAACAAGCTTTATATATGGGTACCCATAATGAGCCAGAGAGAACAAACAGTACAAAACATGACTGCCAGAGCCTGGGTGGAACAGCTGTAAGGAATCATATAACACCAAGCCTGAAATAACTGCATTGGTTGCCTATTTGTTTCCAGGATATGGTCAAGGAAAACCTTTCCCTGTACCATCATGTCTGTGTCCTTAGGGGCAGGAAATGGAGAGGAGGTTCATTCCACCATGAGTGGAGGGACATGGAGTCATGACATGAGACAGAGTTTTCTCTGTGATGGTGTCCTAATAAAAGAGTCACTAAAAAGGCAGCTCGCAGCAACTCTATCACATTTATGTTTTAGCTTCAGGCTAAGACCATCCCTTTTACCAGGTATTTATGTATGCTTATAGACAGTGTAATGCCTGAAGTTTGTTTTTATGTTTTATTAGTTTTATTGATTTTATTAAGGATATTTAATTACATTATTTACTGAAAATAGCTCGTTGTTTCTTTTAACATTCCTACTGCAATCCTGGAATAGAACATTGATTAAGTTATAAAAATTAATTACATTATAAACCACAATAAGGCCATGGGAGCAACCATTGCAAACAGTTCTACAGAGCTAAAGCACTGTGCCATCAATATGTTAGATTGAAAACATTATGCATTGCAATAATTTATGTGTTATATCCATTAGTTATAACAAGAAAACAGTATGCATTATGTGTAACTCAGCAAAATACTTAATACTTTAGGTGGACTAGATAGTGGTCCACAAAGCTTAAGACACAATATATGTGTTAGTCTTTAAGCTGTTACAAGACATTGACTTTTTTTTGTTTCAAAATGTGATTAGATTTATAATTGTTAATGCCAAATCTCTTTTGATTGTCTAAGATCCAAAGTATGTTTAGTACCAGAGAACTGTATTTCAATAGGTTTCTTAAACAGCTATACTTGTTCTTAATTATTATAATCCATTCACCAGCTGTCAACTGAGCAAACTGCTGATTGCCACAACTTTCTAGGATTTAAACACAAAAAGCATATGCTTTTTATGCTGTTTACCCCGTCCCTTCAAAATTATAGTTGATGAATATGATTCATACAGAAAACTGAAAGGATAAGAAACTCAAGAAGCCTAATTTCTCAAATATAGAACATAGACATTTTCTTGGAAGAAATATGGGTATCTGAATGTTTTATTATTCATTCCATGCAAAAACTTGTGGAAAGGTACTGTTTATAGCTAGGGCCAAGACTTTTAATTTTAAATTTTAAAAATGTTTTTACATATTACTGATTGTATTGCCTTTATGAAACTCTATAAAAAAAGAGTTTAGTTTTTAACATCTTAATCTCTCTGTTCAACTGAAAGGCATAACTTTTAAATAGGAGGTTCCACTAATGTCTATGAACTTGATCATTTCAGTCATCAGCTACAATAATTTAAATAATAAATGTTAATACTAAAAGCAACTGTAATTGAAGCTTACTTTCTTAAGGTCTTGTGGTAAGTCTATTACCATAAATCAATACATTCAAAAGCCTTCTTCCTCTTCTCCCAAATTTCTCTCCATTATCAAATATATCAGCCATCAACTATAAAAGTTGATTTCAGAAACTAGCTATTTTAGATGACAGATACTGTAATATGGCTCAAAAATATGGAAGGTGCCAATCTATTGCATCTTCAAAATGTATAATCAGGAACTCTGAAGTATGCATTGCGATATTTAGAATAATTTCATTGTGCAGGAGAACAATTGGCTTCAGTCTAATATTTAAGGATTTGCTGTCAACCACTCAGAAACAGAGTCCAAATTAGCATCTTTATCATGCCCTCTCTCAGAAATCATATTATAAAAAGCTGTAATTTATTTTTATACTGTACATTTAAAAGCTGAAGATAATCTATTCTTGGTAGGGCTGAGGAGCTATAGGTCTCTCTAGATAGTAACAAAGCATAACCCTAACGATCTCTCATTGTTGTCCATGCTGACTGAGGCTGTTGTGAGTTACAATTCAGTAACATCTGAAGTATCACAGATTCTCCATGTCTGATTTACTTAATAGCTAACCAGAGGTAGGAATATGATGAAGTCTTCATATATTTTAAAAAATTAGTTTACTTAGAAAGTGAAATATAATTATTTTCCTAGCTATTACATATAACATACAATGAAGTCAATGGCTGGAGGCAACTCAGTGAAATAAATGGGAGGTTGAATTTAAATACTTCACGTTGGAGTGAACCAGTGGTTACATGTTTAACCATGTATTTTTTTCAGTATGTAGTGTTTTCTCCAAGGGTCCCCCTCCCCCATACCCGCACACCCGATAAATATGCTAAAGGGAAGCAAGCTGATGCACTAAAAGATTTACCCAGTGGTATGCTGGCAAAGGTATAAGAATGGGCTCTGCGAGCTCCATTGCTGCTGCTGCACTGAGCTGCTAGAACTCTACTCTCAACTGGCTTGCAAAATTCCAGAAAATTTAACAATCTGCTGTAGCGAGCTGATGCAAGCTGGCTCCAGCATACCACTGGATTTACCCATAAATGAAAGAATTGCTCCTTATATAATACAACAATATAATATAATATAACATAACATACAAGATGCCAAGAAAACTGTTGTCAGTTTCAGAAACAGAAGTATTTCCAAATCAGTAGGTTGCTGGTTCAATGTATGCCATGCACAAATTCACAAACTTTAGTGGCTGCTTGAATGTAAAACCCTCATTTTAAGACAGTGGGTTTCAGAATGGCAGCAGAATTTTAACAACTTGATTTCAAAATAATAACAAATAGGAACATAAAAGCTTCCCTGCTGTGTAAGATTAAAGCCCTATCCAGTCTACATCCTATTTTCAAAAATGGACAACTAGATGTCTCACAAAAACCCACAAAACAAAACATGAAGGTTCTTTTCTACCGCTGCCCCTGAATAAATGAAATTCCTGGGTATTCTATTTCTCCTGTTCTAAAAAGCCCCAGGCTGGCAAAGACATAGATAAGATCAAGCAACTTTCCATAGGTTGTATTGCCCTGGCACTAAAATGTCAATCAAGAGATGAAAAAGCAGAGTCCAAACAGAGAATGGAGCTGTAGGACTATTAAATTTTCACAAACAGAAAAAAGTCTTAAAATATAGAATGGCCCAAAAGTATATCAGATTAAGAACAAGAAATAGTCTTATACATTTTCAAGTCTATAAAATTCTTTGCAATATCTGATTGGGACAAAAGAGTAATCATAATAAGTGTATCCAAGCTCCAATAACAAAAAGGAGAATATGGACCATCATGTATTGAACAAAGCTTTCCAATCCTTTCTTCTCACTGCAGCTTCCCCAACAATCTTCAGGAATGGAAATGGGTATAATACTGGGTAGTTATTTTATTTATCCTGAATAGCACTTCCTGAAGGGCTCAGGCAGGCCAAGGAAGTAAACTGCAGATGAGGAGACAGATCAGCCCAACTGTGAAAGTCACCTCCTAGTCATGCACCCAGGAATTCCTGAATTCAAATTGAATGTTCTTTGCTAAGTAAACTTTGCATCATTTCAAAAACTAGAACAGAATAATTAAGCAGCAACAGTAACTCATGCCCTTGTAAACTTAAAACTAGACTACTATAATATGTTCTACATGTGGCTACAGTTGGTGCAAAATGTGGTCAGCTGCCCGTTAATGGGTGAGAGCTATTATGATCATGTTACACATCTACAGCAAGAACAATATTGATTACCTCTTTGCTTTTGAGTGCAATTCCAGGTGCTGATCATTACCTAAAAATTTTGCTGAAAATTCCTTCTTTTCAGGAGTTATAGCAGTGGGGGCTTGGAAACAAGCATTCAAACAGCTTTTAGGAAAGCTGTTAAAATTTTGCTTTTCAGGAGAATTTTCAAGGAGTGAATTTTGTTCATAGAATAGCATAAGATAGGATTTGCTCATTTCATTTGCAACAGTCGCATCAATTGATTAAACAGACATTAAGCAAAAACACTACTTACTTGCTGACTTCTTTATACTGTGCTATTTCTTCAATATAAAGGAGATCATGTAGTCGTGACTGATAATTACTCTTGGTCAATGATTTATCCAAGACAGACTGTGTAAATAGCTGGTCAGCAGACAGAGGAATTTGATATCTGATCAGAAGGCTCTTATCCAATTCAGTAGTCTCATTTGGCTCAAATTCTACAATAGTCTTGGAAGTGGAATCCCAACGCTTGGCCGTAGTTAACAGTTGCTGCCGTGCATTCATCCGGTATTCCAGGTCTGTTTGCAGCAGATAAAGATAATAAATAGATACCCTTACTAAATTATATTCAAACAATCAAACTGCATATGACAACACAAATTAAAAGAAAGCTCAACAATTAACACCACCTTATAGACGGATTAACAATCAGATTAAAATAATTTTAAAATACTATGCTACAGAACTTTGGATATAAAAAAAGCAGTAAAAAACTTTATTACTGGTATGCATTAAATTACTTTTATGGTGTTTGAGGACCTATGGAAACAAACGTTTTTGTTATTAAACTATAACAGTTTGTATAAGTGCATATTATTTCATTGTACTCTTATTATTTAATCCAGTAAAGTTATGAATACTAATTGCTTGCATGTCTTTTTCTGTGTTTAAAGAAAAGATTAGCATAATGATACATGGACTGTATTTATATTAAGCTGGAGGATCAACATATAAATACCACTGAAGTATGATTTTTCACTCTTGAAATCTTCATAACTCTATAATTACTCAATTTAAAGCTTACAGTAGACTTCATCTTTACCTATTTGGTAATGGTAACTAAAACAATTAGCAGATTGACAGGAATTTTTTAATCCCAAAAGATATACTTAGGATATAATATGTAACGGTGTTTATAGCATTATTTTACTAAAATCACATACGTGGCATTTCCTATCAGAAGACAAATCTGAAAACAGGTGCGCATCATATGCCTAGCAGAGTTTTGTTTTTAGTTTCCAATTAGACCACTAACAGAGACCAGTCATGGGTGGCCATACATATATTTGAATGGAATTCTGGAATCCCTTTTAGGTAAGTACTGAGCAGAACTGTGAAAGTGCTAATGACAATCTCCATATAAATTGATTGAATAAATAAAATAAACAAATAAAAAAAGTCTGACTCCTTCAGTAATACACTTTGCTTCCATCCTGAATGCTGAGGGAGAGAAGGCCAATCCTCCATGACTAATTTAGATGCAAATTAGGCAAACAAAGCAGGAATCAGAACTCAGCAATGGATTTGCCAATTTCTTTGCCAATACAGTAATTTCTTTTCCAACAAAAACATGGTACTGGCATGGAATAATAACCATCTTCATCAGCTTGCTTAACATGTTAGACTAGGACACAAGAGACTCAGGTTTCATTTTCACCCATGAAAACTCACTGGCAGTATGCAACTTCATCCATTTTAGAGCCAGCCCATTTAGAGTTTCTCTTGCTCACCATCCAATTCCCTTTCCATCTGTAAACTATACCTTTACAAAGCGATTGTATAAATGGATTGTTTTATCTATGGGAGGGGTAGAGAAATTGGTACAATCTAGACTTTTTGAACTTTAGTACTTTAAAGCCTCAGCCATATACCAGTTACAGAGTTGAAGCCCAAAATATCTGGAAAGCACCTAAATTCATCCTATGCTTGAGGGACAAAGACTAACAATGAGCCTAGATATCTGATATTGTACATGTCATTATGTACAATAGTACACTTGCCTTTGCATACAAAAAACCTAATCTAGTTAAGGTAAATACCACTGTATTTGATATAGCCAGTGCTCTGTCCTGCCTTGTGTATATCCCTTCTGCCCACATGTGACTCATATAAGGCCTTGCCAAAAATGGAATAACATCACCATTCATACTTACTGCAGTAGTATAATTCTTTGACTCAGGGAATTACAATGGCATTATGGTCCTAGCCCTTGACTCACTTCACCTCTTTCTGCCTGTTTGATGCCTGGTATTTTTATTGGTAATTTTTTTCTTCCAATCAAATTTCTTTTCATATTTCTCCAAAAATCATCCTCATTGTCTCCCTTTTCCTGCAGGTATTTAAATTTGTCGCTAACCTTTTTATAACAAGGGAAAACGTAGAGTCTTGCTCTATATGTGCAACCAAGATGCACAAATACTCATATTCTACAAAGAACATTTTATCTATGGCAACACACAGTTCAAGTAAAACTTGACATGTATAAAAATGAAAAATGAAAAAATAGAGGTGCTGGTATCAAATTGTTAATGATTGGCTTAAATCTCAACTTTTGGGTCTGACTGGGGCCTCAGCAGTACCAAGAAACCCATGCCTTCTCGCCAATATCTGTCCTCAAGATAATCAATCTTAGATAGTTATATGGCATTCTCATAAATGTTTGGGGGAGGGAGACTACATAAGTATGTTCAATATGTGATTCAAGTGCCACTGACAAAGGAAGGCCTTCAATTACATGATTAAATAATGATTCAAAATGCTTTTAATATTAGATTTAAAAGAACCTTCCTTCACTCTAATGACATTTAAGATTATACATTACGTCCCCGACTAATGCACTTTGCATCCAGTGCCCCAAAATAAGCATGCTTGTATGCAACTTGCCCAAATATTTACTTTTCTTGTACGCAAACCTCCCAAAGCTATACATTTTGTAAGTAAATTTTGAGCTGAGAAATATTAATAAATGGACAAATTTGTTTTTTAATGAACACTGCAAATCATACCTTCTGTTGAAGCAGCATCAATCATCACTCGTTGCATCAAAACTGGTTCAGTCCCAAAATCAAATACCACAGTTTGACGAAATGTCCCAAAGATTTCTGTACTAAAAGCTATACTGATTTTGTACACTGAATGATCTGTTCCATTCTGGGCCATCTTTCCTCCTACCCATTCCTGGCAGGTTTCTGGGACTTCTTGTATTATTTGGGTAGTGCTGTCTCCAGCAGATATTGCCATGATACTAAAATGAGGACGGTGTGCATCGTAAAGCAATGCCACTCGATACAGCATTCTTGCAGGCTGTGAAGGAAAAAAGCATCTAAATAATTGTGGTACATGTTTCTATTCAACTAGTAGATGAATAAATCTAAACTACCTTCCTTCCTTCCTTCCTTCCTTCCTCACATTTATATAGCTGCCCATCTCCCAAAACGTGATTCTGGGAAGCGTGCAATAAAAAAATGAACCATAAGACAAACATTAAAAGCATTCCATAATAAAAAAAATCACTATTATTAAAAAAAAACTAAAAGAGAGCAACTTCAGTGTTATAGACAATGTAGCCATCTCAATAATTCTCCATTTCCCTGAGATCCCCAAGCCTGTTGACATAGCCACATTTTGAGGGACTCCCGGAAGGCTACCAATACATATTGCAATACAGTGGTGATGTTTCTATATGAGATATCTTTACACAGAATACAGCCACTTCCAGTAACTTCAAAAACATTTACTTTTATTTTTAAAACTGCAAGTTTTCTTATTTAATCAAGAAAAAATGAAATGTTATATTAAAATAAGAAATAGTTTTCAAAAATGAGGGAGAAAACTGTCTCACTTAATAATTCACATTCAAATAATAATTTAGAGTTCAATAAATGATTGAAGGAATTTTATAGTGATTTTGTAAAATGACCCACATCAGAAATATGGAGAAGCAGGTTTTACCCAACGCCACCTTCAAAATGACTGTCTTCAGTACCATACTGCATTTGCTCATGATTTTTCCCTCTGCTGATGTCTCCATGGTCTAATGAAACTCTGTCTCAGTATTCAGTTGAATACTAAACCTTTTTGTAAGGTTCTGCTTTATAAACAGGAGGCAAAGGTGAAGCCAGTAAAGCAAGCCCAAATCACCAAAAAATCTATCAATATATAGATATTTAGATATTTTTCTTAAACCACAGCAGTAACAGGGCATAGATATTCGGGTAAATGTTAAATCTAGCATTTGTCCTGTGGGCTGAGTTTTTTCCATCCGTTGCAAGTTTCTACCCCACAAATTGAATCTGGCATATTCTAGCCCCAAGGGCATGTACATTCCAAAAGAGAAGTTGCTGAAAATCTTAGGCTTAAGCATCTATATTTATAGTCCAGCAATGCATTATATATATATATATATATTTTTTTTTTTTTAAAAGAGGTCAGAATCCTACCTTACATGTAAGAGCAAACGTCCACATCTGATGTGATTTTTTGGTGGTGACAGTAACTGACAGTTCAGGGTTATGTTCAACTCTCACTCCATCTAGATATTCACTAAGCTAGAGAAAATGCAATGTTAGAAATTTTATAGGATAATAACAGTACTGGAAATTCTGGGTTTAACTGAAGACCTACATGTTAATAAGACCAATATGGGTGAATGGTCATTTTATCAACTATAATTTTATTATAGTTATAATATACTATAATCTACAGTACAGAACTAATCCAGCTCAAAGGATTGTAATTGTAATGCAAACTGGATGATAAATAAAAATAGAATAGTAAAGATGTGCAAATTGTTTTATTTCAAAATGCTTCAAACATGAAATTTCATGAAATGTCTCTTTTCAAACTTAAAGTTGCAGTTCTCATTGTAAAACAGACTTTTTCAAGCATTTCTAGAAGCATTTTGAACTTGAAACAGCCTGCCTTGCACCTGAAATAACTTTCAAACTTGGAATGGGGCATTTTGTGAAAATTCTGTACTCGGAACACATCAAGATGAAATATTTTGTACACCCTTCTGTTAATGCAAGTTTGCATGCATGATTGTTACATTCATTCATTCATTCATTCATTCATTCATTCATTCATTCATTGTGCCTTCAAGTCAATCTTGACTCCTGCTGACTACCTGGACAAGTCCCTGCAGTTTCCTTGGCAAGATTTTGGAAGTGGCTTGCCATTACCTCCTTCCTAGGGCTGAGAGAGAGTGACTGCCCAAGGTTACATATGTTACATATATACATGCAAACAATTCAGAGAAGACTCAATTTTATCTAATGGGCATTTGAAATAAAACCAGAAGATAGGGCTGAATCAATCTAACCTTAACTTCAATGGAATGGAATCTGTATACATACCCAAAACTCACAGTTGTTTCAGTCACATATCTCTACCTTATTAAACCATTTTTTTAAACTGCATGGAAAAACCCTTAAATTAAATCCTGTACAGTATACTATCAGGCTCTATAGGATTTTATTTAAGATGTGGTACAAAAGACACAGAGCTCAAGAAGTAGCCACATACACAATAAATAACAAAAAGACTGATGGAGTAATAGAGATTATATATGTAATTAGTGAAATGAAGCTGGCCATAAATTTCACAGCACAAAATTACTATATTTAAATAGGCCTCTGGCATGATTAACAGTTTCAACTCATCATCAAAGTCAGAATTATATTTTATTCAGAATCTAGTTTTGATTGTTTCAGTCAAAGAGTTCAGAAATACATGGACTTAAATCTCCTTTCTGCCAGAAAGAAGTCAAAATGGTTCAATGGTATGGATATAGATCCAATTTATATCTATAGGACTTATTCATGTTCTTCCTATCTACCATTTTGTATTTATGTATAATCAGATAGATAATTGGATATGCAAACTAACTCTGAAGCTGCCAATCAAGATAATGACAGCAAAAATAATATTTTCTCCAAGTATATATTCTTTAGACACTTTCCTGACCTATTCTAGAAGCAGGTTAATATTATATAATACACTGAATCATTACACTCTTGGCAGGAACCTATATACTTCCAGATATATGGCTCCTAGCACTACCAATATCCATAATGGATTTTTCTGTGGTAAGAAAAAAATACAGAAGCAGCAGTGGAGAAATAAGAACAGTTACACATGGAAGATAACATCATCTGGACTCATTCTGCAGGTCTGTGGCAAGATTTTAAAATAAAAACCCCATTTGGAAACATTCTCAAGACAATAGAGTGAAACATGACAAATATGTTATAAACACCATGAAGTTTTCAATTTCAGATGCAAGAATCAGAATTGATTAGTGATTTTTTATTAACAGAAATATGCAATTGCATAATATAAATAATATTTTGACGACATCAAAATCTAGCAGTGTCAAAATCAAGCTCCTATTTTTAAGTATGAACACTGAGAGATGCAGTCTATTCTTACCACTTTCTCAGGAGATAATGAATTCATCCATTTTTCAATCAAGGATTCCATATAACTTCCCAAACATTGCTTGTTTTCTTTCTGTTGTTTTAACCTTATCAAGCGGGAAGCATATCGTTTCTGCCATTCAGTCAGCTCTTCCTGGGAATGTGCTGAAGTACACTGTGCACCATATCTGCAAATTCCTTGCTCTAAAAATCTACATACAATGGGGAAGAAAAATATTCCTTAAATTCCCAATTTAAAATAACTTCCAAATGCATAACTTTTTGAGTCTTAAGTTCTGAATTTCCCAAACACAACTAACTAAAACTGTTAACCATAACCTGATTTGTAAAATGTACAGCTAATTCTATCTGCTTCCAGCTATACCTGTTGCAAAGCTGTTGCAAGGTAAGAGGCTGCCAGAAATGATCTGGGTATGCTGGTCAAACTAAACATTTAGAACATGGCTATAGCATAATTTATCCCAGAATACTTAAGGAAAGATTCAAACTGGCAAATGTTAGTTTATTCGGGAAATATTGTATCTCTTTTATCCTGATCATAAAATATAAAGCACTGTCCAAAAGCACATTTTAATATCAAAAGCATACATCCTAAACTCACAGGGGCACTACAATGGAAGTGTTTTTCAAATGGATATGGGGTGGGGGGAGGGAGAGAGGAAGAAAGAGAAAGAGATCAGTACATGATCTTCCCAGTTTTCTAGAAATTTAGTGACACCTTGTGGCCTTTTCTGCTTATTTCAGATTCATACTGACACAGTAGAGTCATCTTCCAGCAAACAGTTCAAATGGCTACACTACTGTGTGTATCCAAGGTTGTATTTATATTTGTGTAATTAAACTAATTTTCCCACCAATACTTTTGCCAGGATAGAAATTGCTTCATAAATGCCTATCACCTGGAAGCGTAATTTATTACCCATTTACAGCCTACAATAGGTTTTGTTTTGGCACAGATATACAAGCAGTTCCACAATGGAACCAAGAGCAGAAGTTGGCTCTTTTTCACTGGATGTGTACATGCATCACTGCACAGTCATCTGTCAATCTTTCATTTGGATTCATGCCCTGAACAGGAGTTGGGGTCTTGGCCGTTTCCAACCCTATGATTCTAAGAACTAGGAGTTAATCCTTAGGCCCTCAAGCACTGCTATATTGCCATTTCTTTACACCTTATATGGAATTTATAATATGCCTGTCACCAATTAAAAGTGCTTCATTTTATAAATTTAATTTGAACAATTTATTAATAAGAAGAGTATTGCAGTACTTTTTGTTATTTTCATGTATTTATATATTTTAATTAAAATTCTAAATGATATAATTATCAATTACAACCCACCATTTTTTGGGGAAAGGCAAGATAAAATTTCAGCAATTAGAAAATGTAGATTTGTTTTAAAACGACTATATGAAAACATTTTTAATATACATTTTAAAAAGTTCAAATGTGTTGGTCTTTAAACCAACTGAAATATACTGTATAAGAAAAATCATTTCTCTAAAAGCATCATCACAAAGCACCTTCTTATGGAATTCTAAACTCAAGCATTAATAATATTTTAAAACTTATGGATATGCATGAAAATCTATCAGTCCTATCAAATAGGTTTATCACCTTAAATTTGGATAGTTACAAATTAAACAGACACTACAAATTCTGTTAATCTTACAAACAAAGCAATTACAGGTAAGAATTCAGGCTGTGTTAAACTGCAGATAAATATATATGTTTAAATGAATATATATACACATATATCAAGATTTGTTGATAATATTACAGTTGAGGACTCTCAAGTTGTAATATAAAATTAACAGTAAACTGGAAACAAGTTTAAAAATTAGCTTGTAAATATAAAAATGGTGAAGCAATAGTTACACTTTATCACAAGGTAGGAGTATTTATTTTATCTTTTTATTTTATTTAGCTAATTTATATGGCCACCCAACTCACACACCGTGATTCTGGGAAGCTTACAGAATTAAAATACACAATACAAAAAGCCCATCAGCCCCCACCCCCCACGGTGGCTACAAACACATTTAGCATTTCATTAACAACTTTATAAGATTACAATTCAACATTTTAGAATCACTTATACAGAGAGTGGGGCAAACTGTCACATTTGTCTAGCTGGAGCACTCTGAGCTAAGCTATAAAAGGGGTGGGGGGAATGGACCCTTATTCAGTTTCTTCTTTAGGAATGTAAACTATGGCATGAAAACACTAAACAAGAGATTATCCTGACATTTTATTACCGTGCAAGGAAAAGATTCCCTTCTTTATTTTCTGCATAATGGGCTGCTATTAAAGGTGCAGGAATACTTTTAAAAAGAAAGCCAGCAACCCTCAAAGGCTAGCAATCATAGTTAGACACCATGTATGGTGCCCATAATTGCACATGTGTGCCTCAGAGTCACATTCTTAACTAAAGGATTTTGATGGCCATGGTTCATTCTAGGATTAAGATACCATCTGCAGGGAAACTAAATCAATGTGGTACAAGCATAAAAAGCATGAATTACCACACAGAAAGCCACTAGGCACTAATTGAAGGGTCAAATCATCATCACCCAATATGCCTCTAAGCTTACTAGTTAAGAGGATAAAAGAAAATCCCTTTATTATCTCAAATACAGATTAAAAGAAACTTCACTCAGGAGGCCAAAAAAGGAGCTATTTCGACTAATTCATCACTGCTTTTAATCCTTCTGGCAGCAGCACATATTTGACTTTGCAGCATCTTAACATTAAAAAAAGCTAATGTGATAAACAATGTCATGAGACCAGCCAAAGGTCTTTTATGTCACATCAGTTTCAAGAGAGGAGTAAACAACATATTTACACTTTATCTATTGAAAGCAATGGCTAGATCATATCCATAATATTTGCCAAAATACCAGAAAGATAGTGAAAAGACTCCAACACAAGGCCAGAGAAAAACATTAAACTTAGAACTTGGCAACATTCCTCCACTCCATCTAGTTTAAGATCTCTCTCAGGGATTGAGAATACTAAGCAATAAATATATGCACAGTAGGAACTTACTGTTCTAGGAAGTTATTAACTTCCAGAAACCTGCTAGACCATTCCTAGAACAGACATGGCCCAGAGGAGAAACAGAACATTCCAGAAAATTTCCTCTTGAAAGTTCTATCCCTAGAACAGTAGATTTTATACATGGTTAAGATATATGAGTAGAAACGGATCTTACAAGTTATCTACTCTAACTTCCTCCATAAAGAAATCTACTAACCTAACCCTGTTACATGGCCTTTTAGTCTCTGAAAATCTTCAGTGAGGGGAGTTGATCACTGTTCTAGGCAGACTGCTCCACCACTTCATGGCTTTTACCATACAAACAGCCCTCCTAATTTTCAGAGGTAACCTCCTTTCTTTTAACCTCAAGATGTTGGTCCTTTTCCTGGCCTCCGATTTAATAGGGGACAGGTATACCCCACCTGCACTTAACAGCTTTTCAGATATTTATAGACCATCAGAACTCCCATCAGTCTTCTCTTCTGAAAAGGAAAGGCACCCAGCTCTTTTAACCATTCCTTATAAGGTTTGATTTCCAAACCTCTTAACCTGGTAGCTCTCCTCCTGACCTGCTCCAACATTGCCACAGTACTTTTAAAGCACAGGCACAAGATTGAACATAATATTCCAAGCGTGGCCCAATCACTGCAGAATAAATGGAAGTATTCCCTCCTGTTACCTGAACCCAATGTTTTTGTTAAGGTAGCCCAAGATTGCACTAAATGTTTTAGTGACTGCATCATATTCCCATTGCACACACAGCTGATTATTCACTTGACCCTAAATACTTTCCAGGTGCTCTGCTACCAAGCCATGTCTTCCCAATCCCTTCCTATACATTTAATTTTTCCTACCCTATTGTGGGATCTTCACATAATCCACTGGATTTTGCCCAATGTTCAAGGTCATTTTAGTTCATGATCTTGTCTTCTAAGATGTTAGCCAATTCCCTCACCTTGCTATAATCTTCAAAATTTAGTAATATTCTTTTCCATTTCATCCTCTGTCACTTAAAAAGATCCTGAATAGCACTAAGTTAAGGACAGTTAGGAAAAAAAATATCTTCACTTAAAGGTTTAAGTGTTCTGTCCTTAGAGTAACACCACAAGCAAAGAAATTACGATTTCCTTATTACATTTTACATTGTAAGAGAAAGTAGTAAAGCCATCCCTTACATTAAGGTTCTTAAATGAATCTCACTTTTAGACAGCTGATCAGCTTGTGGCATGCTTTCTATATGACTTACAATGAAAAACCAGTTGTGTAACAAACTGATCTAATAAAGCATAAGAATCCTGGCCAGAGTTTTAGAATGCACAAATTTTGTGACATCTGAACATATTTGTAAAAGATTTTATGCGTAAGAGAAACTGAAAAATCATCTGAAATCACTGCATAATGTGGCCATCCATTTAATAATTTCTATTAATGTTATAATTACTCATTTAGCTAGCCAAGACACATACCTAAGAATACTCCCTATAATCTATCCAGTTTTCCCATTATTTAAAATATGGGTAGCTTAGAACTTAAGCTGTAGAGGAGAATGCCATTAGTTAATTCTGTACTTATACACAATTTGCATTGTCAATGAATTATAGTAACACCTGGTTTTCAACTTCTACAAGTACCAAAAAAATAACATTCTTTTGTTTCCAATTCCTGGTACCACCCTTCTGTATTACCCTCAAGTAAACAGCGCCTTGAATTGCACCCAGAAGCAAACTGGCAACCAGTGCAGCTCATGAAACAGTGGTGTCATATGGGCATACTGAGGAATGCCCATCACTGTCTGTGCCACTGCATTCTGGACCAGTTGAAGCTTCTGCGTGGCCTTCAAGGGCAGCTCTATGTAGAGCATTTTAAATAACTCAAGGCAGCAAACATACCAAATACTCCTTCCTCCTCCTATTTTCCCCACAACCACCACCATGTGAGGTGAGTTGGGCTGAGAGAGCGTGATTGGCCCAAAGTCACCCAGCCAGCTTTCATGCCTAAGGCAGGACTAGAACTCAGTCTCCTCCTTTCTAGCCTGGGGCCTTAATCACTAGATCAAACTGGCTGTTGCAGTACTCAAGCTGTGAGGTGACTAGGGCAAAATTGACTGTCTGAAAGGACTCCTGATCTAGGCAAGGGTGCAACAGGTGCACTAGATGAGGCTGTGCAAAGGCCTACCTGACACAGCTGCCACCTGCTTATCAAGCAGAAGCTGTGAGTCCAGAAAGACTCCCACATTGCACACCAACCTTGAATGGGAAAATGCTACCTCATCCAAGATTAAAGATGGAACATCCACAGATTGAAGTGGCCCCAACATCCACAGCAACTTGGTCTTTTTAGGATTGAGTCAGAAATGGTTCTTCCCCATCCAAACCCGCAGAGCCTTCAGGCACTGGGACAGAATCTCAACCACCACCACTTACTCTCTCAACTCTGCTGAACAGATTTTCAAGATGCAGAAGGGTAAGAATCATCATTAATTCTTTCTCCCCTCCTGTTCCTGCAGTGAAAGTATTTCATGAGTATATTGCCATCCACAAAAAATCTGGTACGAATCCAAAGTACAGATGCAGCCAAAATTATTGGTACCCCTCCACTTTTCCTCACAGAATCCCAATCTGCCATGAAATAAGTTGAAACCGATCTAAGTAAATGGCATCCACCATTCTTTATTCCATAGCCCATAGACCAGACATTTTGCTTTTGGTTTATGACATATTAACAAATGACAATACATTAAACTAATCCAAAACAATATCCTATAATTTATGGGAATACCCCTCCCCAATATTATCACTTTTTTTGTTCTCATTTTTTTTTATTCATTCATAAATATATATAGTATCTTACTTCCTAGGATGATTTTTACATATCAGAAAATGAATAAAACATCAAATAATATCTGATTTTTTAAAAGATTCCCAAATATCAAATGGAATTTGTTTTCTCTACCAATCTGAACTCCATCTCTCTCTGTTACTGATGTTTTCAGTAATCACACAAACTGAGAAATATTGAAAAAAAATTATTATTTTACCTTTTGCATAATGTGTATTCTTCACTACTTGTGACTCCCCGGGGTGGGGGGCGAAACTGCCAGCCATCCTGACATCCTGCCACATGATGATAAAATGCAAATTATTTTTCTGTTTACTGCTATTCTTTAATTCCTGATATATATAGGTTATCCAGAACTAAGCCACATAATTGATTACAAATATTGAACTAAACAGCAGGCAGTTCAATCCAACTAACAAGTTACGCTGTATTCCAAGCAAAGAGAAAGCAGTGATCCTCACTAGCAATAATATCTATCAAGTGATATCTAAAGGAAAATGACCCAGAGGGAGTTTCAAAAATCAAGAGCTATTATTTTCCATGAACATTTGCTCATCATCTTCTTATAATTATCAGAAATCACTTACACAAAAAGGACCCTGGCACGTCAGTTTTACCACCATTACCTTTCCTGGAGCTTATTTCCAAAAGGTGAGTTGCACTTCAGAAGAGGACACAACTTCCACAAATAGAAAATTTTTATTGGGTGCAATCCTTTGTCACCAGAACCCAATTCCAGAAGCAGGGAAGATTACCAGTTAATTGCTCTGGATTGGAAGCCATATTAAAAACTACATTCCTTTTTTTCAATCAACAGTAGAGATATTGTTCCAGCTTCATATATTCTGTATATGCATTAAACATTAATACTATATTAAATGAGATGAAATTAATTGTGAAATGTCAGAAGAAATATATGCTGTCATGTTAACATTTCTGTTAGATTTGATGCATTTGATTAATTTTTAAATAAACATATTTGAACTCATCCCATACAGAAAAGGCAAATATGCAAATAAACCAACAAATGAGGAAACTGTTCTACTATTACTATTTTTAACATATGGAAAATCCCATCTAATGGTAACATTTCAAACCTTAAGTTTGGGATCCTAAGAAGCCCCAGTGGGAGATTAACTTTCCTGATGTCTCCATCCCTTCCAGTTGCCTGAAACCTCTGAAAGCCCTCCCTCAGAGTCAGAGGATCCCCCAGCTATGAGTGTGATTCGGAACTGAAGCCTCTGTCAATGTTAATTTCTTTCCTAATCCTATTAATTTTTTTTTTCACTCGACTGATACAGAATGGTAGGAGAAACATGCTTTTTCTACATATTAACTAGCAATTCCAGTCTTTACTTAAATTAAGACATTAATATTTTGGAGTGTACCTTCTTCCACCTCTTCCACATGATGTACTGAGGGTATTTTACAAACTGCTGCCTGCAATCATAAAGAATACATTTGGCATAGATCAAAATCAGTTTCAAATATGCTTCTGAATACTATGTATATAAAAATTAAAAATATAAAAATAAGTAAAATATTAGGCTTCCGGGTGAGGATCTATAGTGGACTAGACATCCCTAAAAGAGCACTAGACTAGAGGTCCCTGAAGAATTAACCTGGCATTTCAAGGCCTGGTGGCCTTTGTTGCTACCTATCTAATCATAGAATGCAGATATCAGAATAAAATTCTCCACAGACAATTTTATATAGAAGGTGTGCCCTTAGGTAATTTAAGCAATATTCTCTACTATGGGCATCCAACAATCACAGATTTCAACTAAGACTTCAAAGCTGTCAATTTGGAAAAGTTGAATTCACACTGTAATAATCTGCAGGCTGCCCAATTTCATTTGGAGCCCAAATACATAAGCCTGATGCAGAAAGGTGAGGCTTTCTGCCTTCCACTTTTTGCCTTCCATTAGAAATTACAAATAAATGAAGCCTATTTGGCAGTTAATAGTAGTAGTCTCTTATGAAAACATGAAGAGCACCAAAACTCAGCACAGTAGCTTTTCTATCAGATACCTTTGAATTTTGTTTGTTTTTAAGGAAACTGATGATAATCTTTTTATTTCTTGGCAGAAATGGACAATAATTTCAGGCATAACTGCCCCTTCCAAGGGAATCAAATCTACCAGATTTCAGAGGAACATAGAAGAGGAGTCTTTACATTTCAGAATACCATATAAGATATGGTGTTCAGAATACCACAGATAAGCCAAAAATTTTAGGTGCCAAAATACACCCCAAAAATTGGGTCTAGCTTATCAGTGAGTATATATGGTAATGCTTTTTTAAAGTACTCGTATATCCTATATCCCGAATATACTCAAGTATAAGCCCATCCATGGATAAGCCAATCCTCAAGTTTTTAATCAAAATACCATGAAAAATGTGCCACCTGCAGATAAGCCAATTATGAAAATTAAAACATACAAAAATTTCAAGGGTCAGCTTATCTGTGGGCGGCACATTTTTCATGGTATTTTGGTTAAAAATTTGAGGGTCGGCTTATTTGCAGATGGGCTAATATGTATGTATGTATGTATGTATGTATGTATGTATGTATGTATGTAT